ATCGTCTTTGTGAATTTGTGGAGAATGGAAAGTTGCCAGAGAGCTGGAGAGAGTAATGTTCTCATTTTCCCTGAAAGAGAAAAGAAGGTAGAGTCTGGGAATTGTTGACCGCTGAACTTCATGTTGATTTTGACAAAGAACTCAAGGATGCATGATGAGGTGAAACTTTTTTTTTTTTTTGAGTCAGAGTCTCACTCTGTCACCCAGGATGGAAGCAGTGGCACGCTCAAGGCTACCACAAACTCAACCTGCTGGGCTCAGTCAATCCTTCCTCCTCAGCCTTTCAAGTAGCTGGAGCTACAGGCGTGTGCCACCATGTCCAGCTATTTTGTGGATTTACTGTAAAGACGTGATCTTGCCAAGTTGTCCAGGCTGATCTCGAACCCCTAGGCTTAGGCAATCCTCTTGCCTCTGGCTTCTACAGAGGCAGAGATTATAGGCATGAGCCACCATGCCTGATTTGAAACATTTTTTAAAGGAAGTGTTGACCATAAGGATTAGCTAGGGTTAATTAAGGATAAATCATGCCAGTCTGTCCTGACTGCCTTTTCTGATAGGACCAGAAAATCCTGTAGGTATGACACACCTAGTTGTCAACAAGGCATTTGTTAGAGTCTCCGGAGGCACTCTGTAACTAGAAGGATCAGTTTGAACTGGGTGATAGTATAGAAAGATGACTAGTCTTTGTACCAGTGACCTCTGGCAGCTTTCTTAATCTGGGAGGTTTAATTAATTCATTCAATGGAAAATGCCAAATTATTATGCCCCAAAAGCTTTCTGGTAAATTATTTGGAGTTTGGAACCTATTTTGTTGTGAACACAGCATTTTTTTGTGATATTTCCTGGCTAATAAGATAAAATACAAAGGTCCATTGAACTTGTTATGTGGATTCACTGGAAGAATTTGGGTAATAGGAATATCTGTGAGCCTGTATCTTAGAGTAAGATGAATTTTGAACTCCAATATGGAACACCAAAGACATAATCATCTCATGCTGCAGAGATAAGGCAGCCTTGGGGTGGATGGTGGGTGGGTAGGGACCACCTGCTTCCTGTATTTGCCCATTTTGTGTTGCTATAACAAAAGTCCTGAGACAGAGTAATTTATGAAGAAAAGAGGTTTAATTAGCTTACGGTTCTGGAAGCTGGGAAGTTCAAGTTCAAGTCGCCACATCTGATGAGAGCTTTGTGCTGCATCCTAACATGGCAGAGAAGTGGAAGGTGAAGCAGGCGTGTGCCAAGTGGGCAAAACACAAGAGGCAACCTCGCTTTATAACAGCCCACTCTCTTGGCAACAAATGCATTCGCAGGAGAACTAACCCATTCTTGAAAGAAAGACATTCATCCATCTTGATGGTTTAACTCCTCTTACAGGCACCATGTACCTACAGTACTGCATGGGGAACCAAGTCTCAACATGAGGTTTTTCGGGGGAAAACTAGTCAAACCACAGCTCTTCCCATGGTATTGATGAGAGATCTTCCCAAAGATTGACCAGAAACATAGGGCCGAGTCTTCTCTGTCATTACCACCCTGGGCCCCCCACCTTTGCATCCTTGACTGAGTTGAAGAACTCTGAAGCTTTTTAGAGGAGAGGAGTAACACCACTGATCAGATTTGCATTTCAGAAAGTTGACTCCATCTACAAGCTGGATAATGGACTAGAGAAGGCAGGCCATAGGAAAATAATAGAAAAAGACTGACGGTAACCATGAGAGAGAATGAAAGCAGCCGGAATGAAGTGAAGTGGGGGATTTGAGAGTGAGCAGATAGGTGGATTGATGGGACTTGGCAATGCATTGAATGTGAGGAAAGAGGGAGGGTAAGGAACCTAGAAAGGGTGGTTCCCAGGTGTCTAGCTTGGGCACTTGAGTGGATAATGACGCCACATATGGGTGTGGAAACAGCATCGAGAAAAGGAGGGTGAGGGGACCAGCTTGCACTGTGAAGACTCAAAAGAACCCAGTAGACTGACCCGCTAGATGCGTGGATCTGCAACTTAGAAAAGTATGCACTGACGGTTCAGCACCAAATCTGTTTTGCTTGGTTTGCACTACCAGATGTTTTGATGTGGGCTGCTTTCTGGAGATCTTCCTTCTTTGTAGAGGTTCTTTAGTAAAATTTCACTGTGCAGCTCTTTCCTCAAGAGCATAATATCCTTATGGCCAAGCACTCATTCAGTTCAGACCGTACTATCTACATGAAAATGGTTGGCTGGATAGGCTTCTGGCTCTATGCAATTATGTCTATAATAAGTAAGATGAGAATAAACACATTAGGCGACCCTAGATATTGCAAAGTGTTCCACTTCATCATTAATCAGAGGAGTAGCCTAGGCAAATAAAAGTTTGAGGAGCTCTCATGGGTGGCGACCTGCAATGTCTGTTAATTTATTTCACCTAGAGAAAATATGGTCTGAGAAATTGATTTTGCTGTGACATTCTACAGCCTATGCATCACCTTCCCTGGTGTGTGAATAATTAAGGAGCGTGATCCATACATTTCTGAACATGTTAACATTTTTGGAACCACACCAGATCCTAGACATGACATTTTTCTGTTGCCATCTGGAATGTCCATGCCTGGTGTCTAGGCTCACTCTGCTTTTTGTTTGCTTTGGCTCTAAGGCTTGGCTGCGTCTTTCGAGCTGTTTGCCTTTGGTGTTTACGAAAGTGGATTCCCACAACCAAGAAGAGGGTGGGTCATGAGTCAGTCTGGAAGTTCTATTTTTGTTGTTGTGGACTAGGGTCAGTTCACCATAATAGTGATGTTTTGTGAGACAGACTTGGAGCACCAAGGTGGTGCCAATTTCTTGGCTTTTCTAAATATGCACATGGAACGCACGCGTGTGCACATCCGTGGTCCTCCTTTCAGAACAATTCTATGTCAGAATTTCGTTGTAAGAAACATAGAATATAGTTTTTTGTTTTCATTTTCTTGTTTTTTATTTTGAGTCGGGGTCTCTCTCTGTTACCCAGGCTGGAGTGCAGTGGCATGATCACGTTGATCACAATTCATGGCAGCCTCGACTTCCTGGGCTCAGAAGATCCTTTCACCTCAACCTTCTGAGTAACTGGGACTACAGGCATGTACTACCATGCCTGGCTTTTTTTTTTTTTTTTTTTAGAGTCAGTATCTCACTATATTGCCCAGGCTGGGCTCGAGCTCCTAGGCTCAAGCAGACTTCCTGCCTCAACCTCCTAAAGTGCTGGGATTACAAGCGTGAGTCACTGCACCCAGCTGGTAGAACACAGTTTTATTGAAATGCAACGCAAGTGCATGCAGTCTGAACTCTGGATAGCTGTACTAGGATTAGATTTGTATTGTCGGCATGTTTGTGACTCTGTCCTAAGAGGATAGAAAGCTTTACTGCTCTCCTGGTGTGGTGAGCATTGCACAGTGAAACAGATGCATTCAAGAGCTGTTAGCTCCTTGTTTGTGTGCTTGATGCTTACCATGCTTTAAGTTATAGACCCCAGCTGGGCTTGGTGACTCAGCCTGTAATCCCGTGCCTTTGGGAGGCTGAGGTGAGTGAATTGCATGAGCCCGCGGGTTCGAGACCCACTTGGGCAACTTGGCGAGACTTCATCTCTACAATAAATCAGAAAAAATTAGCCGGGCGTGGTAGCGCGCACCTGTAGTTCCAGCTACTTGGAAGGCTGCGGCGGAAGGATCGCCGGAGCCCAGCAGGTCAAGGCTGCAGTGGTCGGGAGTGGCACTGCCCCCCAGCCTGGGCGACAGAGTGAGACTCCAACTCAAAAAAAAAAAAAAAAGTTATAGACCCCTATAAGATTAAGCCTCAATGGTGTTGTTGCATGCATATATCCTAAAGATGATGGGAGAACATATTTGACATATTTTAGCATTTCTGATGTAAGTTTTTCCTCTTTAGGTTTTTGGTTATTGACGCTACACTAATACCTGTTGCTGTCATGTACGGCAGACTTCCCCAGGGACATTCCAATGGGGCACAGGACACAAATTTTTCTTTTTGAATAACAATATTCCAGTAGGAAGTTAATTCACATTTTTTAGTGAAGTTGGTGAGAACTTAGGTGATTATTTTCAGTATAAATACTGTGTTAGCAAATAATAAAAATAAACATAAACTCATACCTTCTTTCTTTGTTTAACTGTTTCTATCGCTACACTCAACTTTGCCAATGAGAGAAACTTATAGTCAGGTACAAAGAATGGGTTTGGTGTAAAGGATGGTTTCAAATCCCAGAACCACCAATTTCTAACGACGTGACCTTGGACGAGTTTTGGAACTTCTGTAAGTTTCAGTTTCCTTCCTCCATGAAATGATTAGCCCATGTGGATTTTGTCAGGATTTTGTTTGTTAAGTGAGATAAATATGTAAAGCCTTTAATGCCCACATGCAGCAAGTGCCTGAAAAAGATGAGCTGTCACTATTATTATTAATCTCCTTCTTCAGCGTATATCTTACCTTCAAACTGCCCAGTAGGCTTCTGTGTATCCCCTGGTTTGGCGTTTATCATACGGATTCTACTGCCATAGAGTGTGCTGTTAGAATCTTGTCCACCTTTGTGCTAGAACTTTCCTGTGACTTCTGTGGGTCATGAGTCTCACTTCTTGCTTCTGTGAGCCCTCCCATCCTACTGAGCGCCTCATCGGTTCCCTACATAGACTTCAACTCATCTTTGATTCTTTGGAAAATTTTATTCTGTAGGGGACGTTGTTCTAACTCCCCTTGGTTCCTCCCTCCCCCTACAACAAGCCTTCCATTCTTCTCAAATGTTCATAGAGCATATTTAGTTCCCTTCCAAGCTACTTCCAGAAAGTGAGTTAAGCTGTAGAACCATCATCAGTGCCGCTCACAGCCAAGCTGCTTTCTCTCCTAAGGGCTAATTTGAAAATTTATCTCCAAGGATCTGCTTGTCTTCTGAAGGTTTACTGTTGCCATTTCTAACCAAATTTAACTTTATTCGTGTTTTCTTTTTCTTTTTTGTTCTTTCCATTATGCAACGCTCTTTAAGACGTGGATGAGTGTCTAGAACCGAATGTCTGCACAAACGGGACTTGTTCCAACCTGGAAGGCTCGTATCGTTGCTCTTGTCACGGGGGCTACAGCCCGACCCCGGACCACAAGCATTGCAAAGGTAAAGGCTGGAATCCAGGTCCCTACTTCTACTGCAACTTCATTTTAGAATAGATGAGAACAGTTTGCCTTGGAAAAGGGAACCACGTTACGTGCATGTATTTTGAGTGAGTGATTCAGAGCACATTTTGGTTGGTGTTCTCAAAAGTGGCCCCTCATTGTGGTTAGATATGGAGCATATCTATTTACATGACGGAAAACAATGTATTTTTAGAGAGTGTCTGTAAACCACAGGCCTGTTTATTCAAAATTTTTTTCTGGTTCTAAAAACAATTCTCACAGTTACACAACTCTGTGAATATTATTAAAAGCCACTAGGGTCCAGGCTCGGTGACTCAGCCTGTAATCCCAGCACTTTGGGAGACCGAGGCGAGTGGATTGCCTGAGCCCTCAGGTTCGAGACCAGCCCAGCAGCTTGATGAGACCACATCTCTACAATCAATCAAAAAACATCCAGGCATGGTAGCATGCATCTGTAGCTCTGGCTTCTTGGAGGGCTGAAGCGAAAGGAACGCAAAAGCGCAGCAGGTCAATGCTGGGGTGACCTTGAACATGCCACTGCACTCCAGCCTGGGTGACGGAGTGAGATTCCAACTCAAAAAAAAATTGCCACTGGGTTGCTCACTTAAACAGGAGTATTGTATAGCATGTGAATTATATCTCAATAAAATTACTACTAAAGAAAGCAACATCCACTCAATGTAGAAAATTTAGCAAATACAGAAACATTTTAAAAAGTAATAATCTCTCATAATCTCATTTTTGAATAGCCATACCTCATGGATACCGTATGTAAATATTATGTTCTATGTACAATTTTATATCTTGCTTTTTGTTACTTAATAGTAGCTTAATAACCATTTTCTATTTCATGAATAACTCTTCTCAAACATTATTTTTAAAGGCTGCGTAATATTTCAATGCATTACAGTTTTCTTGCTGTTTTTTTTTTTTTTTTTTTTTTGAGTTGGAGTCTTACTGTCGCCCAGACTGGAGTTCAGTGTCCGCTCCTGGCCACTGCAACCTCGACCTGCTGGGCTCTGGCAATCCTTCTGCCTCAGCCTTCCGAGTAGCCAGAACCACAGGTGTGCGCTACCACGCCCAGCTAGTTTTTGATTTATTATAGATACGAGGTCTCGCCAACTTGCCTGGATGGGTCTCGAACCCGCGGGCTCAGGCAATCCACTCGCCTCAGCCTCCCAAAGTGCTGGGATGACAGACTGAGCCACCGAGCCCAGCCGGAGACCTTGCTGTTCTTTAGGTGTTGAAGAAACAAAATTTTCCCAACTTCTCAATACTATGTGAAAGAAACTGTAACCGTCCTCTATTTTATAAACGTTTGCCTGAATTTTAGAACTATTTCTTTATTCATGAAAGTGGAATTACTGGGAAAAGCGTTCCTTTTTTTTTTTTTTTAACTATTTTATTGGTTATTTTGTTTGCTTTAAATGACATATAGTCATTGTACATGTTTATGAGGTACATAGTGATGTTTGATACATATACAGTGGTCTTTTAACTATTTTGACAGAGAATATTTCTAATTTTAAATGCGTATTTATTTTAACTCTAAAAAGGTTTAATATTTATTTTATATGCTCAGTCCCTTTAGTAACTTCTTGAATACTTCTAATTATTAAACCTGTATATTAAACTTGTATATTGTATATTTATTAAACATTTGCTTCTTCCTTTGTAAATTTCTGTTCTCTTTTCTCATTGATCAAGTTTTTCATTTTTTAAATCAATGCATATGAACTCTTTATATTTAATACACATATAGACCTGTGTTCATGTGTATACATATTATGTATACAGATTTTGTGATACATTGTTGTCATTGTCCAAGATATCCCTCATTTTTCTCTGTAAGATTTTGTTTTGTTAAAAGTTTTAATTGTTTTTTGTTATGGTCATATCTATGCATTGTTTATTTTCTACTTACTACCGCTACTTTGTACCTAAAAGCATGCCCTATCAGAGGGGAACAGAGGAAGTCAGTAAAATTTCTCTTCTCTCCCAAGTGAGTGTGTCTCAATATACATGAAAACTCCAGGTGAGAATTTATTTCCCTCTGTGGTCAGCAGTATGTGAATACCCTGGTGTCCTGTGAGAAGCGAAGCTGCTTCTGGTAGGGGTAAGGGACTTACAGGTCCCCGAATGTGGTGCTGTGCTCCTTCTGTTGGATCAAGTACTGCCCACTCCCACTAGGCATCTTAAGTGGACACATTCCATCTTCTTGTGGGCCTTTCACTGTTGGCCACATCCACAGCTTTCCTGTGGACTTCTCAAGCCAAGATCTCCTCAGACCAAATTAAACATGAGAACCATCTAAAAGGTGTCATGTCTTCCCCCATCCCTTAATAGTGGATGAGGAACTCAAGCCTTAGATGTCATTGCCAGTCTTTATGGCTGATCCAGTGTATTTCCACATCCTGCCATTTTATCTTTTTTGTCCCTCAACCTATCTGGTTCTTTTCATCTACTTGTGGATGAAAACTCTTGAAATCCATTCTTGCATGTCACATTCCAAACTTGTCATGATCGCCTTCTTTGACTTGCATTCTTTCCCCCATTTGATTCGAAGTCACAGCTGCCCTGTGAAGATTGTGTGCTGACTGGGACCCAAACACTCGCTCAAGACAATTCTATCTTTGATTCCTGTCTGCTTCCTCACTGCTTACCTGATGGGCTCTTCCCAGCGATTCACAGTACAAGCTTGGGTGGATAATCTCAGATTTCCAGACCTCACATCAGCCCTATATCAGAGGCTTGGCCCTCTGAAGGGGTGATGCTCAGAGTGGACACATGGAGTGAATGACTCGGTGCCACTGTCTGGCTCTTGTCTGCTGCCATCCCAGTTGAGCCTGGTCCCTCTAGTATAGCTCTCTGGAGCCCCAAAATCTACATCATCACCATCGAGGGATACCACCCTCGGAACACTCATGTCCAGTCACTCGGGCATTCTGCTGCCGAACTTGCCCTCCCTCCCTCCCACCCTCCATCCCTTTCTTCCCTCCCTTTCTTCCTTTGTGACCTCCTTCTCTGTTTCCCTTCATCCCTCCTTCCCCTCCTCCCTCCCTCTCCTCATCCTCCCTTCTTCCATCTTGCACGTAACTGGAAACCAACATGTTGCAGACCCTGTGCCAAATGCAGATGTTACTGAGAGATTGTACTCTCTCAAAGAACTTTTACTCATTAGAAGAGATGCAACCCTGCAACTGATAATTATAGGTAACACAATACATCAAGAGGCAGTATAACTGTGTGAGCCAAGTGGTAAAAGCCGACATCATCATGGATATCATGTGAATGTCATGTACACCTGATGTGAGAATGCACACCTGACATTATGTGATGACCAGAGCACTCCGCCTCTGTGCTTTGCTTTCCAAAAAACTGTAACCCCAGTCTAATCATCAAAAAAACATCAGACGAGTACAGGTTGGGAACATTCTACAGTATTCTGGCTTGTACTCCTGGAGACAGATAAGGTCGTGAAAACAGGGAAGGACTGACTGGGGAGACAACACAACTAACTGCAATGTAGTGCCCGGGATTGAATCCTGGAAGAGAGTGGATATGATTGGAAAAACTCATGAAATCCAAGTAAAGCTTAGAGTTTTCATTTTGTTTTTTTGTTTTTTGTTTTTTTGAGTTGGAGTCTCACTCTGTTGCCTAAGCTAGAATGCAGTGGCATGCACTCCCTCCCTCCATCCGATTTGAAATCACAGCTGCCCTGTGAAGATTCTGTGCTACTGCAGCCTCAACCTGCTGGGCTCTGACTATCTTTCCGCCTCAGCCTTCCAGGTAGCCGGAACTACAGGTGCCACCACACCTGGCTAATTTTTTTTTCCATAGAGGTGAAGTCTCACCAAGTTGCCCAGGCTGGTCTCGAACCCATGGGCTCAGACAAACCATTCACCTTGGTCTCCCAAAGTGCTGGGATTACAGGCTGAGCCACCAAGCCTGGCCAGTTTTTTTTTTTTTTTTTAAGGCAGTATATCAGATCCTAGCTCTACATTTAGAAGCTATGTGAACTTAAGTAAGCTATAGTACTTTACTTTGCTAAGCATCTGCAAGACAGAGAACCATCATGGTACCCACGAGAGCTGATAAGAGGATGGCGTGAGATGATACAGGAACAGAGGGCATTCAGGGAGTGCAAGTTAGTATAGGGCAGAGCGTGACACAGGGATGCTGATGGTGGCGGTGCTTTTGGTGGTACTGGCTCTAAATTAGAGACATGAGCAACATCTTTTTGGAGCCAAGAAGGGGATGACTGTTTGCTTCTAGGAAAGCGTCACAGAGATGTTGCTGTTTGAACTTCGTCTTAAAATATTAGGTGAAAAACTGGGTAGGCAGACAAAATAGCACATGGTGATACTTGGAGGTGGGAGCAAGCTTTACCTCTACTTGGTGTTGAACCTTGCCCTCCTCTCTCTCCTAATGGCATCTCTTCCTTGCACTCTTGGGTCAGATCAGGCAAGATCCCCATCTTCCTTTTTAGAAACTAGCATATGCACTTATCACCCTCACTCTCCTCCCAAAGTCTTTTCTTTCTGCACTGATACCATCTTTTTCTTTAATTATCTGGTAACATTTTTCTGAACCACATCTGCTCATGGCTGTCACTCACCCTAAATCATAAGTCTGCCTCTTTTCCAATATTCCATAATTCTGACAATCTTGCCTTTTGAGAGTTGTAGATATTGACTTTGTCTTCACATGACTAAATGTGCTGAGAACTTTCTTCAGATTGTCAATATGTGATCTAATATATTAATTCATTACTTATTTCTCTTGACCTAATTGTATCCATACGTTTTAGCTTTGTATATGCTAAGCTTATAAATACCTAGATATAGTTAGTCTCCTTTTTAACTCTGAGATGGACTTGTCACATGCATGTACAAAATTCCTCTAAAGAAATACTTTTCACGGGAGCGCATGTTTCTGTTCATCTTCTTGGCACAAAAGAAAGGATACATTAGTCTTATGTGCCTGTTTTATTAGAAAGTTTTCTATTGTCTCAGGAATTTTGTTCCTCATTGGAAAAGAAAAATGTTTTTATCTCTAGAATTCAGCTGCCTCTGTTCCCTTTGGTCATTTTAAAGACCCAAAGATCACCTTGGTCAAGATAACTGCACTGCCTCAAGTTCTTCCAAGTGGGTGTGTCGTTCCTTGTCATGGTTTGCTTCTGACAGCCCCAGCAACGTAAGTGAGTGAGTTATGTAAGATGTCTGGCGTCCCCTGACAGCACTTGGAAGAGGGGGTATATCCTTCTGCAGACATCTTCACATGGGAATACTTAATGTGCCGTCTTCTATGAGAAATTCAGAAAGAGTCCAAAGCACTAAAAATGTTGTCAGACATGACATGGGATCCAGCCAGCTGCAAGAGCTAATGTTGGTCTTAAGTTCATGAACTGACATCTCAAGTATTTTTTAGATTGTGCTGAAAGAAAATATGGTGTAGACTGATGTCTGCTGCTAACCACTCCCAAAGCTAAGAGACTGAGTGCATTGGGAAGGTATAAAGTCATTCTCAAGGTGAAGTGTAGCTTGCTTGTTTAACTGTTCTATGAACAGTCAACAGTTGGCAGCCAGGAATCTTTTGTAAACAAAGGGGGACCAATAACACAATCAGTGAAACAAATACAGGTTTCTAGTCAAGTCATTGCTAGAAGGGGTGACATACCCACTTGGAAGAACTTGAGGCAACACAGTTGTCTGGACCAAGGTGATGTTTAGGTCTTTAGAGTGACCAAAGGGAACAAAGGCAGTTGAATTCTAGAGATAACATTAGCAGTAATATCACATCATTAATCATTTTTGTGAGCTGTTTCAGGAAACATGGGATTACCTGACCCCTTGCTTATATCGGGATACAATTTAAAAGGTTCATGCGTCATTAGAGCATAAAAAATACAACTTTGTTTGGGAAACAGGCAGTTGTCGATAATACTTGTGGGACAGGATGGCACTGTTAATTGAGTTTTCCTGACAAAAACTTTTAGATGCATTTTAAATAAGATATTTGGGGAAGAAAACAATAATCATATACTGATCTTTAAAACACATAATCTATTTTTAAACAAATTCTGCTTGTGTATTATCCCCTTTAGACCAGGGTTTCTTTATCCCCTTCTGAGGATAGGGCTAGCGTGTTTTGTGTCTGTTCCCTATGCTAGTCCTCACAACAGACCTGTGGTTGCAGGAGCAAAGATCAATCCTACCTGTCATCATAAACTTGTAACTGACTAGCTCTTCAGTTAGAATTGCATGTCTGGAGAGACAAGACAAGACAGAATTGTCTCATTAGGTCAGGCCAACAGAATAGCCAAACAAAAGCATTTGAAAAGCTAACTCAGCTTCTACCAGGAGTGTCCAAGTGACTGACAAAGCCTGTTCTTTACTTCAGTTGTGGAACTTTGTATTCATGCCATTTGCTGGAACACTGATTAAGAATTTTACAGGGGATCCCCGAAAAATCAGAGTTATTTTCTAGCGGACAGGCCCCTTGTAGTTCAGGCCACTGCACTCCAGTCTGGGCGACAGAGTGAGACTCCAACTCAAAAAAAAAAAAAAAAAAAAAAGAAAGTACTCTCTGTATTCATCAAACAGAGAGTACTTTGAAGGTGACTGATGTTTAAACATGTAAGAATAAATACACAAATTTTTATAAATAAATTCAGGGTTTTTGGGGGTTCCCCTTTGTATTCCATCTTGATCAGTAGCTTTATCTTCAGTCAAGGCATTTTTAAAAAATCCTCACTTCTCGCTTTTTCCCTTGGTATTCCAGAGTCCTTGTAATGCTACCGTTCCTCTTGGCCATCCTTGTGACTTTAAAAATGAACTCAGTGTTCTTTAATGCAGCAGTCTGACCTTGTAGTTCAACCTCTTCTAAATAAAGCAGAAATGTCTGTTTCCTTCCATAACTGCCTACGGTTGGGCTTTGTGTTTCAAATTCCTGGTAGTTTTAGTTCCGCCTTCTTCCATGTCACTCAGCAGCTCTACACGCTGTCTGGTAGCCATGATTCACGCTTCAGGTTCTGTCTCTGTTTTCAGTTCTGAAATATTTCATAGTGTGTTTCTACCATATTCAAAATGTGAAAGAGTGATGGTGAGGAGCTTGGCGCTGTCTCGTAGGCAGCTTCTTCGCATGTTGTCTGTTTGTAGTTGCTTCTGCTTTCCAGATCAGCCCACTGGGGTGGACACAAGGAAGATCAGTGGACTCATATGTGCTAAAATGTACGTGCCTCACGTGAGAAGTGGTACAAGTGAATTGTACTGCATTCCCCTGAGTAGTCAGTTTCAAAACAGTGGCCATTGTTGTGTTCGCAGATATTGACGAATGTCAGCAAGGCCTCTGTATGAACGGGCAGTGCAAAAACACCGAGGGCTCCTTCCGGTGTACCTGCGGGCCGGGGTACCAGCTGTCAGCAGCCAAAGACCAGTGTGAAGGTAAGATGTGGCCGTGCAAACTCCTGAGGTTTCAATGTAAAGTTCCTGATCTGGCTGCTTGCAGTGGCTCACACCTGTCATCCCAGCACTCTGGGAGTCCGAGGCAGGAGGATTGTTTGAGCCCAGGAGTTCAAGACTAGTCTGGACAACATCACGAGACTTCACCTCTACAAAAAAATTTAAAAATTAGCCAGGAGTAATGGTGCACACCTCTAGTTCCGCTACTTGGGAGGCTAAGGCAAGAGGATCATGAGAGCCCAGGAGTTCAAGATCAGCCTGGGCAACGTAGCAAGACCTCACCTCTACAAAAAATTTTAAATTTAGCCAGGAGTAATGATGCACACCTCTAGTTCCAGCTACTTGAGAGGCTGAGGCAAGAGGATCATGTGAGTCCAAGAGTTCGAGACCAGCCTGGGTAGCATAGCGAGACCTCGTCTGTACAAAAAATTTAAAAAATTAGCCAAGAGTCATGGTGCACACCCCTAAGTCCCAGCTACTTGAGAGGCTGAGGGGCAAGAGGATCATGTGAGCCCAGGAGTTTGAGACCAGCCTGGGCAACATAGTGAGACCTCATCTCTACAAAAAATTAAAAAATTAGCCAGGAGTAATGATGCACACCTCTAAGTTCCAGCTACTTGGGAGGCTGAGGCAAGAGGATCACATGAGCCCAGGAGTTTGAGGCTGTGATCAACCATAGACCAGCCAGGGTGAAAGAATGAGACCCCCCAACTCAACAACAACAAAAAGGCACCTGGTCTAAACAAATGGACATTTAATCAAGTGAATGTGCTAGGTGATTGCTTTATGGTGCCAGATACCTGAGTATGTAAACATAAGTTAGGAAAGTCAACAAAGCAAGATGGAAACGAGTTCAATTTTTTAAATACAGCATTCATGGCCAGTGGTGAGACATTCATATTAGGAGGAAAAAATACTGCTCTCTGTGTAATTCTTAATGACAGAAAGTAATTTTCATTGAAATATCTAAATTAATTTAAAGATTTTACATACTGGGATATCAGCAATTAGAAGGTTATTATATCGGGCTGATATTATGCTATGGAATGTTAATAACCTTAGTTTTTGTGTGGTATTAAACTTTGTGAGATTTTTGCCTTTTTTTTTTTTTGAGACAAGGTCTCACTCTGTCCCCCATGCTAGAGCATAGTGGGGCAATCATAGTTCACTGCCTCAAACTCTGGGGCTCTTGCAATTCTCCCTTCTCACCCTTCAGAGTAGCTAGAACTAAAGGTATACACCACCATACCTGGCTAATTTGTTTTTGGTTTTTGTGGAGACAAGGTCTCACTATTGTTGTCCAGGCTGGCCTTGAACTCCTGGCCTCAAGCAAGCCTTTTTCTTTGGCCTCCCAAGGTGCTGGGATAACAGGCATGAGCCACTACACGTGGCCAAATTTTTCCCTTAAAAAAAAAACAAACAAAAACAAAAGAAGACTTGTCAGTAAAACTGTAATAGTGTCCCACTTAGACTCAGAGATAAAGTTTGGGAATATATCCTGTTTCTACAGGTAATTGTGAAGATTCTTGACTTGCCAGGGTTGACTTTAGACTTTTTAAAGAAATATTTCATTGAATTTCACACGAAAATACTTTACTTTCCAATTAGCATGTGCTTCCTGAATGTGAAGATATGATATCACCTGTGACAAGCACAGGTGTCCAGAGTTCTTGAGAGAAAACATCATTTCTCATTTAAGAACAGAATTCACACTGTATAAGACCAACTGTTTTGTAAGGAAACAAGTAATATCCATGTCTGTATGCACACTTTGAATATTTAATGAGCACAAAAGTCTCCTGAGATAGCACTATAAAAGCAGCAGTATACAAGGGGGACCCCAAAAAAACAGATTTATTTATTTAAAAGTTGTGTGTTGGCCAGGCACGGTGACTCAAGCCTGTAATCCCAGCACTTTGAGAGGCCAAGGTGAGGGAATTGCCTGAGCCCACAGATTCGAGAACAGCTTGGGCAACTTGGCAAGACCTTATCTCTACAATAAATCAAAAATTAACTGGGCATGGTAGCATGTGCCTGTCATTCTGGTTACTTGGAAGACTGAAGTGGAAGGATCGCCTGAACCCAGTGGGTCGATGCTGGGGTGGCCGTGAGTGGGCCACTGCACTCCAGCCTGGGCAACAGAGTGAGACTCCAGCTCACCAAAAAAAAAAATTCCATGTTTAAACTTCAGTCACCTTCAGTACTCTCCGTTTGATGCCCTACACCTATCGAGACACCTTCCACTACTCGAAACAGTTTTTGAACCCGTGATGCCTTTGATTGCTTCTGCCATTTTTTTGTTTGTTTGTTTGTTTGACCTCTTCCACATCAGTGAAACATTTGAGGACTTTTTCATTCAGGGAAACAAAAAAACGTTGCTTGGGGTGAGATCAGGTGAACAGGGAGAGTGAGGCACCATGTTTGGTCAAAAACTACTGAACACTCACTGCGGTGTGGACAAGTGTGTTGTCATGGTGGAAGAACCGGTCACCTGTTTGCCACAACTTGGGATGTTTCTTCCGCTGTGCAGCCTCTCACAACAATGCTAGCTGACACGCTGATGTCGATGGATTTCTAGAATGCTTACCTGGTGGGAAAAGCCTGTACTACAAGGGGCTCACCTTCCAAAAAATAATTTCGGTATTTTTTAAGTTCCCCCTTGTATGATGGTAATTGCAAAGGCTTCTACCAACATTATCTTTTTTTTTTTTTTGAGTTAGAGTCTCACTCTGTTGCCCAGGCTGGAGTACAGTGGCATGCTCACGCCTGGAGTGCAGTGGCATGCTCATGGCTCCGGCAATCCTTCCGCTTCAGCCTTCCAACTAGCTGGAACTACAGGCGTGCGCTACCACACCCAGCTAATTTTTAAATTTATTATAGAGATGAGGTCTCACCAAGTTGCCCAGGCTTGTCTGGAACCCACGGACTCAGGCAGTTCACTTGCCTCTGCCTTCCAAAGTGCTGGGATTACAGGCTGAGCCACCGAGCCTGGCCTCAACATTATCTTAATGTTCCCCAATCACCCCTTTCTTGAATTTAGACTGACTGAATTATTTGGGTTTTTTTTAGAGACAGGGTCTCACTCTGTCACCTAAGCTGGAGTGCAGTGATGCCGTTGTAGCTCACTGCAGCCTTGAACTCCTGGGCTCAAGTGATCCTCCTGCCTCAGCCTCCCAAAATACTGGGATTATGAGCATGACCACTATGCCCAGCTAATTTTTTCTTTTCCCTTTTTATAGAGATAGGGTCTCACTATGTTACTCAGAAGTACTGGGCCCAAACAATCCTCCCACCTTGCCCTCCCAAAGTGCGACATGAGCCATGGGGTCCAGCCTCAAAATATTTTTGAGATGCCACTTCTACAGTTTCTTTGTGCTCTCTTACTCACAGATATTGACGAGTGCCTCCACCGCCATCTCTGCAGTCACGGGCAGTGCAGGAACACAGAGGGCTCTTTCCAGTGTGTGTGTGACCAGGGTTACAGAGCATCAGCGCTTGGAGACCACTGTGAAGGTGAGAATTGCTCCCGATTTCAGAATCATAAGATGCCCGGATCACAGGGAGGTTTGGGTGTCCTCTCAGCGTCTGTCCTTGGGCCCAACCTCTTAACTGCATACAAATAATGCAAAGACGTTGTGGATCCCAGGTTTTCTTTGCCTTGCTCAGAGCTGTCTTTGAGAATTGAGATGTGCCAGCCTAAGGCATGAAGAAGCTATTCAGCTTTTCCAACTATAGATGGTTTATCCTGGGTGCAAAGTTCTGAACAATAAACCTTTTTTAAAATACAGGACCAATTTCCAGATAAGTAAATACAACTTAATTTTCCAGATAGAATTTTCAAGAGCCATACTCCAATTCAGTGTTGAGCTTTTTGCATCAGATGTTTCTAAAAGATACCCTGTGTGTACAGCATTGCATGGTCATCAGCCGTTTTCATTCCCTCCCACGCCCCCTTACCTGGTGGGGTGACCCTGCCAGTCCTGCTTATGGAGAGGGGCGTGTCTCCTCCCAGCGTGCTCCTTTCTCCCTTGGCCCTCAGCCTGTCACTCATGAACTTTTTCTGGGTTCAGCGTCCACTCAAGTATCAGGTTTTACAGCTCACCTGCAGCAAAGCTGCACTTAGAGCCTGTGAGGTGTGAAGCCAGAGACACGAGTGTTGCCGGGGTTGTGCCCACATGCAGAGTCAGAGTTTTTGAGGCAGTATCTGAACCTACCTGTGAGAGAAGTAGGCCAGCTTTGTAGTGAACGGTTTTGTGGCATGCATTTCAGCAGCTCCAAATCCTTTTTCACTCTCCAGTGCATTAAGAAAGATCCATTAACATACAAAGCATCCTGGATTTTGGACCAGAGAACTTGGTCCAAGCAGTCACAAAGTGACTGAGTATTTACCCCCCTGCTGCTGCTGGGATTGTAAAATGACTCGGCCTCTAGAGGGCAATTTTGGACAAGTTTCAAAGGCCTTAAAATGTCTGCTGGAACAGGCAATCAACTTCTAAGATGGTATTCCAAGGTGATAATGTTCCACAAAGGATTCATACCAGTGAAAAGTAATAAACAATATACCTATTGAAAAATAAGGAAATAGTCAAATAAGTGAGAAATCAATATAATAAGATATGATTGTGCCTAAGAAATTGAGTTTGAGAACTCTGAAGTGTGGTTACATGGTAAAAATTCCATGTAGTGGCATTCCAAGGTGAAGGGTAGTCATGTTGTGGGAAGCCAGTTGTGGAAGAATCTATTCTAGACTAATGTAGATCAGCGGTCCCCAACCTTTTTAGCATCAGGGACCAGTTTGGTGGAAGGCAATTTTCTGTGAACCAGGGGTGGGGAGGGATGGTTTCAGGATGATTTAAGTGCATTACAATTATTGTGCAGATCAGTGGCAGAATTGCATTAGATTCTCAAAAGGAGGACGCAACCTGGATCCCTTACAGGCATAGTTCATAATAGGGTTCATGCTCCTATAAGAATCTAATGCCACCACTGATTTGACAGAAGTGGAGCTCAGGCAAGTAATGGGAGCAATGGGGAGCAACTGGAAATCCAGATGATGATTCACTCACTCTCCTGCCCCACCACATACTCACCTCCTGCCGTGCGACCTGGTTCCTAAACAGGTCACAGACTAGTATCGGTCCATGGCCCAGAGCCTGGGGACCCCTGATGTAGAAGGTCAGTAAGGTGTATGCCACGGCACTGAAAACCTAGAGTGACCAGCAGCGTCTCTTCTGCCTTGATACCTGGCCAAGCCAAGAAATCAACCACCATGCCATCTTTGATTGAGTCTCAGGTCATTGGTTCATCAGAGGGCATAGTCTTTCCAGAAGTGTAAGGTTTTTATTCCCAAAGCATCTATTGTATGAAAAGTCAAACAAAAACTTTTTAGCCTACTTTTTCCTCGTTATTAGTATGGATGTTTATGACACCATTATGTTCTGTTAGGAAAGCTTCTTTTTGAACAGATCATCAGACCTTTTTCTCCCAAAGTCAGGACTGGCTTCCATGGTGTTCCATGGTTATGGGTAGGCCTGGAGTTCGTCCAATGCATTCGGAACTCCCTTTGAAACTATGTTAGCACTTGGCCCGCTGAGTCCCAACTGGTGCTACTTCCTACCCTCCCCTGTGGTATTTAGCTGTAATTAACCGAGCTGCACCTGTGCACATGCCTCTCACAGCCATTTTTCTTGTTAGCTTTTTAAAAAAGATATAGTTTATTTAGAAAGTAAATTAGAGAGAGAGGAGAATCAACTCCCCAAGGTAGGGGAGGGGGCCAAAGCTAGGAAACATGATGGTGGCAACAGCTCCAAGAACGCATGGCCACACCAGTCTAGAAAGGCGGTTGCCTCTTGTTGTCTTTTGTGTTTCCATATGTCATGTTCCCCTAATAATTCTGGGTCTATACCAGAATTTCTCACAGTATCTTCCTGGGATTCCGCTGGCCTCCTCATGGAGGCAGAATCCCAAGTGTCGCACTGGTTCCCGCATGACGCCCACATGCTCAGGAGTTACTTGCTCTGTGATGGTGCGGCCTTTGTTGTCCTGGTCCTTAGAGATCCCGCAGCCTGTAAAGGTTCTGTGTTGACGTTCTTCCCTTCCAAGCACACTCTTTTTTTTTTCTTTTTTAAAATTTATTTCATTTTAAAGATGTGGGGTACAATTCAGGATTAGGAATACAAGTATTCATCATATAGGTAAAGCTTGAGCCTACCTTTGGTCCCCACTTCACCTGGTTAGAGGTCAGATACCTTTATTAATGTTATATGCCTCTCCCTTCCCGCCCCTCGCAGTTTCCTGCTACTGTCAATACCTTTATTTTGGTATTATGGAAAATGTTCAGGGGCCATTTTTGAGTGAGAACATATGGTACTCAGTTCTTTGCTTCTGTAATAAATCACTGAGTATTATAGACTCTAAATCCATCCAAGTTGCTGCAAAGTCCATAATTTTGTTCTTCTTTATGGCTGCATAATATTCCATCATTTATATGTACCACATTTTTCTTTTTTTTTCCTAAATTTTCTTACTTATTATTTTTAACTATAAAGACGTAGGGTACAATTCAGGGTTAGGTATATAAACATTGATTATGCAGATACCCTTGTTGATGAGGTATGCCCCTCCTTCCCCCAGCAGTTTCCCTCAACTGCCAATCCCACCCCACCCGACAGTTTCCCATTATTGCCAAACACTTTCTTATGGTATCATAATTGTTCAAGGTCCCCAAGCACACTCTTTAATGCCACATGTTCTTTAGCCTCTCCTCATCCCCTCCTTCAGGCTGCTCCCAAGTCCCTCATGGAACCAGAGAAGACAGTGCATTATTTATGCTGTCCTTCTGTGATCCTTTATTTTTGGTCATTTCTTGGTGGACAAAATAAAGCTAGTCAGAAGACACGATAGTATTTCTTTCCTTCCAATATTTATTTCCATGTCAGAGTCATTCGTGTATTCATTGATGCATTTGTTCAAATATTTATTTAGTACCACATTTGTGCCAGGCACTATTCTAGGCATGGGACTATAAACCAAAACATATTCCTGCCCACATGTAGCTTACATTCTAATGAGGGACAAGCAATAAACATAACCAGTAAGTAAAATATGTAGCTTGGCATGTGACAATAAATGTTATGGAGAAAAATAAAGAGGGAAGTGCTGGGGACGGGTGGGGATTTTAAATAAGGAGGCAAGTAGAGGTTTCCTTGGGATGATGGCAAGTGATTATTTATGAGAAGAGCATTGCATTCAAAGAAATAGCAGGTGCAAAGGCCCTGGAGGAGGTTAGTGGAGGAGTAAGGTGCTCCACACATGCTCTGTCAGTTTTTGCTGTCCAAGATGAATATTCAAAGGAAGATGTCCAAAAGGCAGTTGGAATTCCAGAGTGGGTCCTGGGCAGGGAGTCATCAGCACATAGACAGTGTTCATCAAAGCCTTGGAATTGGATGGAGTCACCCAATGGGTGACTGTGGTTAGAAGAGAGAGAAGGCCCTGGTCCCTCCAACCTTCAGACGTGAGGGAGTGGGTAAGAACCAGCAAAGGGGATTAAGGAAAAAGTGGCAAATGAGGAAGATGAAAACCAGAATCTGAGAGAAGAAAGAGTTTCAAGGAGGAGGGAGAGATGAACTGTGTCAGTTGTTACTGCTGCGGAAAGGGAAGGCACCAAATTAACAGTGGGATGTTTGACAAGCTTCGGTCTCGGCAAACTCAGCAGGAGACGGAGTTCACTGTTGCTTTCTTTAAAGCCTATTGCTCAGCTCCCAGGAGGAGTGGCCATTTCTCACCATGCCAGGTGGTGATGCAGAGCAGTCCCATGTTGGGCGCTCTCGGTGCTCCATCTGCTCTTTTTTGCTTTGAAGGTAGAGGAAGGTCTTGCAAAATGTAAACTAAAGCATGACTCTCACATAATGCCCAGGGTATGTTTGTTTGTTTGTTTTAGTTGGAGTCTCACTGTGTCACCCAGGTAGAGTGCAGCAGTGGCACGCTCACGGAAACTCAGCATTGACCTGCTGGACTCTGGCAATCCTTCCACCTCAGCCTTCCAACTAGCCGGAACTATAGGCACGTGGCTATACTATGCCTGACTAATTTTTTATTTATGGTAGAGACGAGGTCTTGCCAAGTTGCCGGAGCTGGTCTTGAACCTGCTGGCTCAGGCAGTCCTCTTGCCTCAGCCTCCTAAAGTGCTGGGATGACAGGTTGAGCCGCTGAGCCTATATGTACTTATTTACAAACACTGAAAATGATGCTGGTTTCCCAACATTCATTATTTATCTTAGATTTTAGAAAAATGAATGAAAAGCTAATTACTTTTTTTCAATTTTAGATTCAGAGGGTACACATGTATGTTTGTTACATGGACATAGAGTGCAGTGGTAAGGATTGGGTCTCAGGTGGCCCATTCCCCAGATATGAACATTGTGCCCAGTAGGTAATTTCTGAACCCTAGCCCCTTCACCCAAGCTCTCAACTCCTTAAAATCAAATTTCTTTAAAGTAGCATGAACAGAGAGCTGCCTTGCTTCTCTCATGCTGAGACAGACATCTGCATTATGAGGTAGTTTTTCTCGTCGCCAAAACTCATATTCCCACGGTTTTCCTGGATTGTTTTTGGATTCACATTTTCTACAGGATACCAATGATCAGATGCTTCTTTTCACTTGTCCCCATTACCTACAGAGAAAAGAAAGAAAGTCTAGCCTAAAAGCCGATTGCCTGCTGTGCACCCATTAGAATAGTTATGGTGCCATTAGAATAAGCATGGAGCTATTGGAACTCCCGTACATGGCCACCAGGAATATCAATGATACAGCCATTTAGAAAACTTAGACATGCCATATGGCCCAGGCATTCTACTCCTAGGTATTTACTCAAGGAAAATAAAAGTGTATGTTCATAAAAAGACATATGCAGGAGTGGCTAAAGAAACTGTATTTGTAATGGCCAGAATGGAAACAACCCAAAATGCTCATCGAAAGGTGAGCGGGTTAACCAGGTATGGTGTGTTCATATGATGAAATGCTACTCAGGGATAATGAGAAGAGAACAACTGATACACACAGCAGCTTGGATGAGTCTCAAAAATGTTATGGTAAGTGGAAGAAACCAAGCATAAAAGAGGTTCATGGATGTATGTTGGGTTAATCAGATGCTTGTACTATGACTGTGATGGTCATCACAGATGTGTGTACCTTTGTCAGAACTCACTGAACTCTTCAAATAGATGTATTTATTCTATGTAAATTATACTTCAGTAAAATTGGAAAAACACACTAAAGAAAAAGCAATATGCCGGGCGTGGTGGCTCACACCTGACATTCCAGCACTTTGGGAAGTGGAGCGAGAGGATTGTCTGAATCCAGGGGCTCAAGACCAGCCTGGGCAACTTGGCGAGGCCTTGTCTCTACAATAAACCAAAAATTAGCCGGGTGTGGTGGCATGCACCTGTAATTCTGGCTACTTGGAAGGCTGAAGCGGAAGAATCACCTGAGCCCAGCAGGTTGAGGCTGTGGTGGCCGTGATCATGCCCCTGCACTCCAGCCTGGGCATCAGAAAAAAAAAAAAAGAAAGAAAGAAAAAGCAAAAGCGACGACCTGCTTTAGTTGAGACAAAGTCACATGAGCTGTGTTTTATGTCTTGGGGTCAGTGCTTAGAAACATTGAATTCTGAGTGAACACTCATCAGAGTAACCTGTTTTCATCTTGGTAGACGCATACAGCATTCTCCTGTTTCTCCTTCATCCTCCCTGCGAATGGTTCAGAAGCCAGTGAACTGGCTGACTGGGTTCTCTGAGGAAAATGGAACTCAGTGTCACCACACGTGAACCAGACAGCGGGGTGTGAGAGACACAGCAGCTGATGGAACCTGTCATGGATTTTGGCAGCTATCATAATTATTTGCAAGAAATGCTATAGAATGCCAAATTCTGAGAAAACAAAGACGGTTTTGTTCCTTAGCTTTCTTCAATGCTAACAGTTTCAATCCTGCACAGATACAGCAGAAGAGGGGTTCATGGTGTGTGTTAGGATTAATGAGCTCTGAGCAGGCACAAATGTGATAAATAGCCCCCCAGAAAGGTCTGCCTGGTGTCATGTCTGGAGGGGCCACCCCTTGATTGGTCAAAGCCCATGATTGGTTGTGTATTTATTTGCACGTATGCCATAAATATATACATTTTTAAAAATCCGGGCAACGGCTTCTAGGCTCTTACAGGGTCTTAGTTTCCTCTGTCAGCCTTGTATATCTTCATTTTAACCTGTGTTGTCCTGTGACATGCAGGTCCTGGGAGATTCGTAGGACAGACGCTGAGACCCTCAGAAGGCGGGAGGTGGGGTTGTCATTCAAGGATGTGACCATAGAATTCTCTCCAGAGGAGTGGGCATGCCTAGACTCCCCTCAGCGAATATTGTACAGGACTGTGATGTTAGAGAACCATAGAAACCTGGTTTTTCTAGGACTTGCTGTCTCTAAGCCAGACCTTATTACATGTCTGGAGCAAAGGAAAGAGCCCTGGGATGTGAGGAGACATTGCACATTAGCCAAACTTCCAGCTGTGACTTCTCATTACACTGAAGGTCTTTTGCCAGAGAAGAGCATAGAAGACTCCCTTGCAAAGGTGCCAATGGGAAAATATGGTTGGATTTTGACTCTGATGCCCGGACTGGAATACAGTGGAAAATCCACAGACACTGCAGCCTCAACGTGATGGTATCAGGCCATCTTTCTCCTTTAGCCTCTGAGTAGCTGGTGTCACCAACGTTTGCCATCATGCCCAGCCAACTATTGGATTCATTGTTAAGACAAGTCTCACCAAGTTGCTCAGGCTGGCCTGGAAGCCCTAGACTAAGGCAGTCTGCTGTACTTTGCCTCCCAAATTGCTGGAATTTTAGGCATGAGTCACCATACCCAGTCTCTTGTTTCCTTTCTAGTCATCTGGTGCTGTGTTGGAAGCACTTGTCCCCTCATGTCATCTACCTCTAACTCCTGTGGTGTGGGTTCTGGGCTCTGGAATATCTTCAACATTTATATCTTGATACCCTTCCCTTTGCACTGTTTTGCCATAAATACGGCGATTCTTTGTAATTTCCTTGATTCACTCTGGAGAGACCAAATGCTCATCTGGAAACATTAACATCACATGGTGTGTGAAACAGAATGTCACAACACTTGCATTCATCACCTGGCAGCAGGAAGTGGTTCCAAAATTATTGACTGATACGCTTTGTGTCATAGCTAATTTTATGCTATTATGAGTTAATACTGCATCTTTACATTTATTTACACATTTCCCAACTGCTGATGGTGCCATGTATACCCTGTAAGTGCATAAATTATAAGTTTACCTTTGTATGATAGCTTTGTATGTCTTTATGATAGTAAATGTCAAAATAGACAAGAATATACTTCTACTGATGTCCTCATGACATTTTTAAAGTATATTTCTAAACTGTGAAAAAAAAAAAATCCAGGCAACATCAAATCTGCCTGTGATAGCTACTGAGTAAGTGACTTCAACTAGGCTTTGATCTTCCTGATTCCTGAAAGACCCTCTTCCTCCCAACCCCTGTATTCTACCCTGCTGTCAAGACGCCAAGTTAATTTCTTCTGTTGCATGAAGCCTTTTTAAAAAAAACCTTATAGTATCTTTTCTCTAAATGTATAGGACCCCTAAAGTTGGTACTATGCTTTTTTCAAATAATTCTATTTTGTGAGATTTCTTATTGTTAAATTGTTTTGGGCTTATAAAACAATTTAATATCGTATATGTTTATTTTTAATAATATAGACATTTCTCTTCGAGGGCAAAGACCATGCTTAAAACTTTGAAATGTTTCCTATAATGCATAATACAGGATCTTGTATGAAGAGATCAAGTATGTTAGGTATGCTCAAGATCTGCTTCACAGTATGTATTTTTGAAATATTTTTCGTCTCTATCATCACCAAGAACATAAGGAAGTTATTGTTTGTTACAGAGTTCTAATATTTTCACTTCTCTTTCTTCTGATGCTTAAAACTGCTGTTTATTGTTCAAAGCTAAAATCCTATCAAAATGCTTATTTTTTTTAAAACTCTAAAAGTTAAAAATCTGTCATAAGAATTTTGCATTGCAAATGATGTAAAATAATGCACATTTAAAGAAAAAAATACCTAACTTTCTGTTGTATCGTTTGTTTAGTCTTTTCAAATTCTGAATTGCATTTGTAGATATCAACGAGTGCTTGGAGGACCGGAATGTCTGCCAAAGAGGAGACTGCATTAACACTGAAGGATCATATGACTGCACATGTCCGGATGGATTCCAGCTAAATGACAATAGGGGATGTCAAGGTACTTCACGCCCTCTTCCTTCTTGTCATGGTTTACGTGGTTCTTCAGTTCTGCCTTGCTTCCTTATCATAGTCTGTGGTTTTGCCACTTGCTTGAAATATGAATAATCTAGCGTTAGAGCATCTTTCTTGGGTCTGCACCAGGTGTTGCCTTGTCCAGCCGGTGTCACCTGAAACCCACACGAGTCAGAGCGTGTCCTCACTTTGCGTGGTGCTGTGCTGAGATCGCCTGACTTTGATCATCCTTTTCACATACCAGTCTTGGTCCTGGAGTTTAGATGATCTTCCCAGCTTCTTTATATCCTTTACGGGCATATTTTACTTTATCCCATAGGTGATCTGTGTCCTTTTCCTGATCCCTGTTTTTATCAATACCCACCGTTGCTTTGTTCGTCCTAAAAAGCTTCACTTGGTCAAGATTATGAAGAATGGGAAAGTTTACAATTTTTCAAAGTCACATTTTGTCGTCCAAACAGTACAGCGGACACAGAGCACTAATAAGAACACAACAATACAACACAGATTTTATATGAACAGTCACAACGACAGCTTTGTGTTTCTCCTGTGTGCCAAATGCTGTGGCTATCTCTCCTAATTCTAACAGCAGCTTAAGAGGTAGCTACTTGGAAGACTGAGGCGGAAGGATCGCTGGAGCCCAGCAGGTCGAGGCTGCGGTGGCCGGGAGCAGCCACCGCACTCCAGTCTGGGCGACAGAGTGAGATTCCAACTCAAAAAAAAAAGAGGTAGCTTTTCTTTCTTTCATTTTGTGCACGAGGAACTGAATCTCAGAGAATGTCCTATATATTCCTCTCTAATGAGTGGGAGAGGTGAGATTTGAATTTATGGGCTTTTCCTACAATGCTTGCTACATCACCCTACCAATTGCTGTTACATTTATAGTCAAAAGAAAGAAGACAAGTGAAATTAAGTGATTTTTCTTACAGGGTGGCACATTGAGTCATTTCAACATCATGGCTAGACACTCGGTGGCTCAGCCTGTAATCCCAGTAGTTTGGGAGGTCAAGACGAGTAGATTGCCTGAGCCTGTGGGTTCGAGACCAGCCCAGGCAACTTGGTGAGACCTCATCTTTACAATACATCAAAAATTAGCTGGGCATGGTAGTGTGCGCCTGTGGTTCTGGCTACTTGAAAGGCTGAGGTGGAAGGATCACCGGAGCCCAGCAGGTTGACGCTTGGGTGGCCGTGAGCATGCCATGGCACTCCATCCTGGGCGACAGAGTGAGACTCCAACTTAAAAAAAGAAAGCAATTAAATTGTCTAGATTCTGTATGCTAACATCTTTAGCCAAACCTGACTGCCCTACACATTTTTACGTATTTTTTAGTCTTCTTAAAGCCATGCCTATGTCTTCCATTGAAAACATGTATATGTATTTACCTTTCCTTCTATTTATTTCTGATACTTGGATAATTTTTTTATATTTTTGAGTCTCAGTCTGTCTCCTAGGCTGAGTGCAGTGGCACACTCACAGCCACCTCGACCTGCTGGGCTCAGGCGATCCTTTCACCTCAGCGGAAGCATTACAGGCACACACCAACAGGCCAGCCTAACTTTTTGATTTATTGTAGAGTCAAGGTCTTGCCAAGTTGCCTGGGCTGGTCTTGAACCCGTGGGCTCAGACAATCCTCTCACCTC